ACACATCAAGTGAACGTGCAGTGGCTTCTTAATTTGGTGGTCAGGATGTCATGGTGGTGTAAAAATGAAAGTCATGCGGAATGTGGCGTTTTCTTTCCCGGATGACTTGTCAACATCCTATGTAGACGGTGTCTCCCGAAACTTTTTCACAGTTCTCCTTTCTGGTATGCGGCGCGAAAACAGTTGGATCCACGAAGTGAGAAGGAAATTTGTAGTTGCTATCTACTTTGCAGTTAGTCCGGAACCACTGAGTCGTGAAGCAAAAGGGCGCCGATGTTATGTTTCAAGGGCTGCTCCTAGAATTCACGGGATACTCACTTTTATCTTGAGACAAATTCGTATTCACAGGATTAGACTGTGAGCAGTTTCTGCGTCACACAGAATGACGTACAAATGCCTACAACAACTCTTGCCTTCACGAGTTCGCACGACTTTATTTGATTTTAGTGGCATTTTTGACAGCACTTAACACAAAGTAAGCATGGGATTAAGCATTCAAGGACCACACGGGTCCGAACCGGTTCATGTGCTGCGTTTCACTCAGTGCATGAAAGCAGATGCCCATATTAGCAAAATACTTGGATGTAGACTATTCCTGAAAAGCTGGAGTGCTCGCTCTCCTGATCTTAGTGATTTTATCATACCGACTGCGCCTCCATAGCTAAACATTTTAATTTTGTTTACCACTAAATTTGTGCCTTCCTAAATTATGTTCCAATATTTTGTTCTCAGGAAGTTTAAAGTCTGCAGTACAGCTTTTCTACTGTGATGTCCACGTGATGTTGCCCAGTCAGACGACAGGTAAGGCGCTGCAGTACATGGCCCCGTGACGAGAAGGAGAGCTTTATCATTTAATGTAGTCCAACAAATGTCGTCATAGAGGACATTTTAATAGGCCGGACCCATCACTTCTGCATTTAAAGGGCAAACAAAGAGGGCTAAAGTCGCAACATGGTTGGAACAATGATGGTATACTGTCGCAAGGATTATTTTATTGCACCGTGCTTCCTCGTGTTTTTTATTTGCAGTAGAAATAAGGTCACAGAAGGAAGTGAATCTTCTACAACCTGAAAAATGGAACTGCGACCAGAAGCGCACAAAATGTTCAGCACAGATTGTAGGCAAATGGGCGAAGAATGTGTTGATGAGAGTTTGCAGAACCCGCTTCTAAAGGGGACGGCTAACCGTATTACCACTTTTGAAATTAGAGCATCCGCTATTTTAATTTTCCCTCAAAACGTCAATTTTTACAGCCTTTTTAAGAGGCACTATTAAATGCGCAAATAAATGGCTCTTCTGATTAAAGGGATTTTAGTTTTTTAAAAAATAGCAGATTTTAGGAGTAGTTGTCAAGGGGAAAGTAGTTGATAAGTACATTTTAAGTCCTTTATATTGGGGTTGACGAAACAAAAAGGGTCACCCAATCTTATTCACAATGTTTTCTTTTTAGACGCTCCAGAAGAAGAACATTCACAATTGTTGATCGAAAAGCTAAAATTTTGCTGCACAATCTTTGACTTTACCGTTTTTGACCCAAGCAAAGTGGAGGAGAAGAAAGCAAAGACGGCAACGCTGAAGGAGGTGAGTGGGTACCTCTTCGAGTCACCGGCCGCAAGTATCACCTCAGAGGAAGCGGTGTATGCGGCTTGCGCAAACATGTTTGCCGCTAATATCTTCCGCCCCCTGCCACCGCCTTCTTCGGCTTTGCAGGCGTCCGTGGGGGATCATTACGAGCCTCCTGACAGTGCCGATGAGGAGGACACTCAGGAACCCGCGTGGCCACATCTCGAGGTAAGTTGAGCACCCCGCCCTCTCCATTCTTTCGTCCGATAACCCACGTGATTGCTCTTCACTTTCACTAATTCAGCCTAAAAAGCATTCAAGCGATCGGTCCATTGCCTTACCAATTTAATTTTATGTGTTGGCAAATTCTTGTTAGTTGATCGTTCGGGTCTATTAAATTGTTGACGTAACAGACGCAATACCTATGGGTCACTTGAGGTTCAGTGGTAACACTTCCTCCTGCGAAAAACTAGGCACTGGATTGTGAAAATATTTACAGTCCTCTACCAATTCATAACCCTGTTTAAACTTTCAATGGCCCGGAGTCGAAACAAATACTCATTGTTTATTTGACTGCTAGGCGCCGATCACCACAACTTAGTTTCACCCGCCGATCATGCGGCATGGTCTACAAATTTATGAGGCTTATTTTGATTTACAAAATCCACTTTATGAACAAATAGTTGAATGTTTACATTCCTATTTGGTTGAACAGCCATCCATTTTACAGAAAACGACATGAAGGGAAGGAAGTACCGAAAAGATTCCAATGAGACGCAAACTATGATTAAACTTTTGACCAGTTGTTTTGTAAATTATTCTAGACTATTGACTGTTCCAAGCGTAGGTGAGTGAAATTAATTTTCTGGCTTCCTTTAGACATTTGGCTTTTATCTATTCCAAAGGACAATTGAAGAGCTTGAAATTACCAAATCTGATACTTTTACGAGGAATTTATGTGAATACCATAGTATTTGCCTATTTGACGCACGAATTGGGCTAACCGTGAAGTGATTGTAAATGCACCACTTCCCTTCACTCGGTTCACAACTCGTTGCAGGTCATTAGTGAAGCGAGGAGCCAACCATTGCTAAACTGCACTGCGGAAAGCAGAAAATCACTTCGGAGCTTTGCGATAACAGCAGACTTCGTTACGCCATGTAGTTCATGGAAGAAAGTAATTACCCGACCAAGGGATAATGCTTTTTCCTGTAACACTGCACTTTAGGTGATGCTATCCAATGCAAGAACAAGAGTACTTCACTGGTCCAAGTAAAAAAAGTTATAATCACAGATAGGAATGCGTAATTGTGTCGCTAAACATCTTTGCACGGATTTATGCTTTGATTTATTTTAAATAATTTTTTCATCGTACGAAATGACCTTTGATGGCTGTAAGGTTAAAACCTGCTTATCCGTGTCAGGGAGAACGCTCAAAGATCGGGAGTATATTTAAAAAGCTTTTAAACTCTTTTAGTTAAAATGATTGATTCCTGCATATTACGAGTACTTTTTTCTGGAAAAATTCGGTTTGTATGCGAATTCAAGAAAGTAACTTAAAACTGTACGTCTCGTATTTCCCGACCCTGGGTAGATGTAAGCCTTCAAAAGTTGATAGTCGTCCAATAAGGTTTTCTTTGAAGGAAGTAGGAAACGGGCGAAATTTATTGACAAGCTATTTTGTTTCCGATTAGGCGATTAATTGGGTGGGAGGTCTTGTGTGACCCCATTTTATGGAGCATATCTAGTGCATTTAAATCCCAACGATTCGCTTTATCCGGAAGGTAAAATTTAAAACGAGGGATTTATGTAAACTATCTGTGCATTACAAGTGTTTTAAAAAATGGCATATTTCTGTTACTTGAATCAGAATGCTAGATGACATATTATTACTGTAGTGCAGAAGTGTCTTATGTAATCTATTCTTAATGTGTACGGAGTTGTACAAAAATTATTTGACTGCGGCATCACATTGCGATACCTTCGAAGAGAGAAAATTAGGTGATTCAGGTTTCATCTTTACTGCAACTTCGCGTGACACTCCTGTGTAACCCCCAATTTCTCTCCCCGTTAGGTCACATTTTCAAGTAGCCATTTCGTCAGCGCTGTTGTTTGTTATATTAGCCGAATGAAAAATAATCGGCGACCACAACATTCATACTGATGAAGATTTATCATAAAACAAAGGAAACGAAAGTGACCGATGTTGGGGATGAAGGAGGTTGCATATGTACGTCGTTAAAGTCAAACGTGTTAATACACGAGCCCCAAGTGCAGTAGAGATATTTACAGACAGACGGGTGAGTGAAGGTAGGCGCGTAGCTTTGTCCGAATGACGAAGTTGGTGTAGGTTAAAACACTATTGGTCTATTAGCACTTTAATGGAAGGTGAACATCACGAATATGGGCCAACATTCCATCCCTCACTTTTTGAAGCATGGATCATGATCAGAGCCAGATGCGCGTTGAAAACGGAGGCGCAGAAAAAGTGAACATTGCAAAGTACAGTTGTAATTATTAAACTAAGCCTGTAAAACTTTAGGGATTACTTATTTGTAAAGTCCGGGAGCACTTTACAGCATTACCAATCGGACCGAGAGCTGAGCCATCGACATTGGTCTCGGATTTACTACTCGAATTTACACTGCAAAATACTGCAAAAGAAGAATAGAATATTCAAAAAAAGTCATAGTGGGTAATTAAGCAGGGATTTGTGCACCACGTAATATTGCAACTGCTTCTACAATTTGTTGTTTTCCAACTGCTCTCACACATTTCGAAAATTTGTCTGACCAGCTCTTTTCGACCCCTTTGAGGTAACAGCGCCATTTGGCTTATAAGGTGTACCTCCACAATCGCTGAGTTCCTCCTTCCACATTCTCACCTACTTTCTGTCGAAGGTAACAAAACAAACTACAGGAAAAAGTAATGCCTCATTTTGTTCATGCGAATGAATCGTGTTCATTTCATTTGTTATCAAGTACAATTGGTAAGTCGCTTTAAGTACACCTAAAACATTTAGCAAAAGTGGCAACTCATTGCAATTTACTTGGATTCAGTGATATAAAATAAAATGTCAATCTGCAATTATACAACAAAGGGAAATTTTAACATGCATCACATTATCTTTCAAAGATGGAAGAAAAATGAACAATTTTAATTGAGATTTTTGAAAAAATGAGCTTAACATGCCGGGTAAATTAATACTACTGGAATTTCTTTATTTAGCTGGTATACGAGATCTTTCTACGCTTCCTTTCCCTCCTGGACATCAAAACACTCTTCCTGAAGAAGTACATAGACAGGGCGTTTGTACTCAACCTCCTTGCCATCTTCGACACCGAGGACCGTCGTGAGAGAGCCTGTGCGAAGATGATACTGCATAAGATCTACACAAAGATATTCCAACTTCGAGCCTTCATTCGAGAGCAGATCATCGTCACACTTCAGAGGTGAGCGCAGGTTGCCGCACAGTAGTCTTAGGACGAGTTTCCGCTCTCGCCTGATTGGCAGGTCTTGCGGTGCAGCTTAGATTTACTATGGCGGCAAGGATGAACTTGATCAACACAATGTGCAGTGCATTTGGAAAAAGCACAAAAACCGTCATCTCACCCACGTTCAAACTGTTCGTACACCACACGATCACAAAGTGATACACCGTATTATTCCAAGTCGAGTGATATGAGTACAATCGCAGTCTTGCCTTAAAAAGGACCGATGATCAGAGAAAGCAAAACTTTATATGATCCCTAAAACTGTTGGAATAGCTCACCGCTTGCATTTGAGATTTTATTATTCCACTTTCGCGTTAACAGTGAATTAGATTAAAACTTTTTATTTCATTAAATACTGCGAATGATCATTACGGTGGACTAATCTATCAACCGCTACTTATCTAAAGGCCTCTAGATGGTTGTTGGTAGATAAGACCACATTATTTGACGTCAGATCTACGCAGCCGAAACTGATGCGACGTACCATGCTCTTACTAACGGATGCCCCAAAGCCTACTTTGAAGTTCACATGCAGAGAAGACACCATTTATGTATAAAGCGTGTCTGCTAACCCGTAATGCAACCTTTCCTGAGGGAATAGTACGACGTGTTACCTTAAGACTCGGGAAGTGCTAAAATGTAAGAGTAAATTACCGGTTGAGAGGTTTAGTTTGATGCCCGATAGGGTGATTAATAAAAGAAAAAATAAAGCAAAAGTTGCTCAATTCTTCTACTCTACAAAAACCGCACTAACCGTGCCGTTTAAATAAAGAAAAGTTTCGATTTTAAAAAAATTCACCAGAAGGACGTGGTAGATTTTGCATCTTGCTGCTATTTCCTCCGATACACCAGCGGGCACCACGACACTCACAATGATATGGAAGGTTAGGTAATTTAACGTTAACATTTGCAAAAATGGGTATTTAAATTAGAAAGCCATGTTTATGGGAGAACATAGAAAAACCGAAAAAGTAGCTTTTACAAAATATGTAGCGGATCAGATTACACTGATGACCTCTTTGACGTCAAAACGAAAATGCCTATTCCATTCAGAGCTATTTTTAAACAAACATATAAAGTAGTTTGCTATTTTAAAAGTATCTCCCTTCCTCTTTTACAGCTTTGTTTGTGAGGCCGAGCAATTCAACGGAATTGGGGAGCTATTGGAGATATACGGAAGGTGAGAAAAGCAGTTCCGTTTACTGGTGCACATACTTTCCGTTTTGATTTAAAACAAAGTTTACCTGTCAAGCCTAAGTATTAAACTAACTCACTGTCCAGAACAATCCAGGGCGGGGTCTCAAAGGATTTTTAAAACGAAAAAGCAATTTCTATGCTGGTCTTGCCCGACCTTACTAATAAAAAATGGACGGTAAGATATCACAGAGGTACACATGCATCTGGAAAAAACTACAGTCACATTCATTGTTTTTCCAACTTCATACACTTTAGTTAACTTGATGGACTTCCTCGTTTGCTGTTAAAAGATGGAACAGTACATTTAATAACCATAAATTAAGTCATTCAGGGGTATCACACTGCCTTTAATGGAAGTGTGTAGTTTTGCTGGAGGACCTCATCAAAAAGCTACTTTACGCACAACTTTTTTAGCATCGTGAGTGGATGCCAAACACCATTGAAAGAAGAGCAGGTAGAGAACCTGCGAAGAGTGATCCTGCCACTTCACAAGCCCCGATCCATTTCCGCATATCACCCTCAACTCGCTTACTGTATTGTACAGTTTCTGGAAAAGGACAGATCTCTTCTTCGATACGTGAGTGTTTTTCCCATCCCTCCCTTCTACTTTCAAGGATCTTATGACTTAGCACTCTTCTCTAAGTGTAAAATTTTATCTCTGCTGACATTCTGCTTGGAGAAGGGGGTTAATTGCAATGGATAACGGGTTATTTAAACATACGAAAGTGAAGTCTAGCAAATACCGAGGCTGAAGAGTTCCAAACAACAAAAGCATACGCTGCTTTTCTATCCATTCATACTTGTGTGATACTTCAAGGGATGAAATTGCTGCGGAATAATCTTTGAGCTTATTCTACCAGTGTGTATATGGGTAGTCACTTTTTGGAACGACTTTAAGCAATAAGCCCTCCTCAACCAATGTTTTATTTCTTCTGCATAAATGAGATAACTCTTCTTTCAACGTTTTTCATTGAAAGGTTGTTAACGGAGGGATTTTGAAATATTGGCCAAAGACTGACAGTGCAAAGGCGGTCATGTTTTTGAATGAGCTTGAAGAGTTTCTAGAAATGGTCTCCGAGACGGATTTTGAATCAGTGATGGTGCCCGTCTTCAAGAGACTAGCAGCCGGCTATACCAATTGTCATTTTCAGGTAGGCAAACTGTTTACGCTAAGTTTGCCTGTACTGATTTGTGGTGTTACCAATGTCTCGGTTTAGCCGTAGGCCGAAATGCGCAGTAGGCCAGCGACAGAAGGCGTTTTAATCTAGAGTGGCCACTGAGCGCCTCAATCAAACCTTGCAACAGGGTGGTTCAAGGTATTAGTTATCAGAATAAGGCTAGCCTAATAAAACTAGTAGCTGACATCAAAAGGAAGAAAGGGTTCTCTGCAGAACCAAACAGCGCGCTTAGCACTTAACTATCCACGTAGACTTTTGCAACCCTCCATCTGTGTGGAACGAGGTTTTAGTCAATTACAGAGATTAAAGTGTTTAATGTGATTAAAGTGTTTCCTTTGTACTTTTCTACACCGGGAAATTACCCGTAGAACAAAACATCTAGTCATATACTTATTAGTATTTGAAAATGCTTATTGTTAATAGAATAATTTTCCAACTGTAGGTGTTTGATCATCAAACTATTTTTTGTATGAAGTTAAAAATTACAGCTGTAAGCCGTAATAACGTGTACCTCTTTAAACATACAAACAGCACTCTGTCTTGTGTACAGGTGAGAGGATGATGTTAGGAGAAAGGTTGACTAAAATTACAGGTAGTCAGTGTGTTAATGCGTATGATAACGCCAAGATGGTGTCCTCCCTTCCCAGCTGGCAGAACGCTCCTTAATCGTCACCTACAATGCCACCGTCTTCAGTATGGCCTCCCATCACGCCAACCAACTCATGCCCATCGTCCTGCCCGCCTTGAAGGCGGCTTTGCAGCACTGGCACATGTAATAGCACCCCATCTCTACATTCTTCTCTTGCCCATCCATTGTGTCATTTGATAGGAGACGTCGAGAGCATGTCTCTATTTCGTAAAACCGGAAATAGGTCGTAATATTTAATAAGTACTCTCACCCAAGTCCGAAAAGAACTGCGACCGAATAAAATTACAATAGTTAGTTGTGTAAAATTTGTTCAGGAACATCCAGTGTAAACTTCTGTGTGAAATGAAAAGTGGGAGCGCTACCGATGTACGTGCAAAGCCGTGTTTCCAACTGTGAAAATGTGGTGAGGTCAGATCAGCCCTGATAGCCAATGTGTATTCGGTAGAACTACGAGTCTCCCCCATTAAATCGCCCAATTGCTAACTCTTTATTTGAAAACTTACAAATGACAATCCAGAAGCCAAGAATAGTTCATTAATAGCTATACATAGTTGATGGAATTTGTTGCTTTTGCAATGCGTACCAGATGACAGAAGTTCTTTTATGACCTTGCCAGAAATAGAGAGGAATTTGTATCACGGCTACACCTATTCGAGAGCACATTAAGGCAGCATTAAATAACAGTTGTTGCACAATTTTATTTAAATCTGTAAGGCGGATTCTGCATGTCTGCCTAAAAAACCCACTTGCTTTCATTGTAGTGGAATACAGGAGCATGCTGAAACCATTCTGGACAAATGGAAAGGAGTTGATCCCGACCTCTTTGAGCGCTGTATGCACGATCTTGCGCATAACAAAGAAATGTATGTTGAAAAGCATTTATGTGTATGTGCAACATGTCGGTAGATAAATCTATATAGGTAGGTAGTGATCCCCTAGTTGTTTCCGAGACATCACTTTACTAGAGACCTTCATTTGGGCGAAAGGATGCGACAATAACGCCAACAATGGTCCATGATGTGAATGCGTTGTGCAACCACATTTTGTTACCACTAACAAGTAATTAGCCTAAGTAATTTGTACCAATTTTTTTAAGTCTCTTCTCAGAAGGCATGTGTACGTTTTTCTTTACATCATTGTTTATCTGAGGTCATATTTGAACAAGTATCTTAGGCTTTGCAAATGTTCAAAGGTTATTTCACATAAGAAGTTATGCTACAGAAATATGCGGGTTCCCTTTTTTGGTCTGGCACAAAATAATTCCATATGACCCTCTATTTAGTCCACGAGGCGGTGCTTCTAAGTCATGCAGATTTGCAGAAAGTACATACTTGCTGGACAGACTTTATGACACTTCCATGAAAATTAGTTTATTAAATCAGTTCAGTCTCAATGACGCCTTGAAGGCAGTGGAAGGTAGGGCACTTCGAGCATGGTTTAGTGGCTAGTGTCAACTGCCGTGGCGTTTAAAAAGTACATAAATCAGCCTGATTTTGAGATTGCTTGAAGGTGGTGTACAAACGAGAGGTGTCTTCGAATTCACTCTCGTTCCATAAACGCACAACGAGGCTTCAAAGCACCCCTGGCATTTCTGAACACATGATTTCTTAAAAGCGTCAACCTTATCGTCGAATTTTTTCTTTTTGTTGCATAACTTATTTTTGCAAAGAAGAACCATAACAGTTATTCTGCTAGTAATTGAACATAAAAGCAGTTCAGGCAGAAGAACCAACAGAAGTATGGAAAATGATAATGAAAATGAAAATGATATATCGAGCTTGTGCAGATTTTAATAACTAAGATAAGATTTCCATAATAACCTCACGTAAAACCATCCCTCATGCTTTCGTTTTACTTTAATAGGATTCCATTCCTCCATAGTGATGGTTAGGTGAAAGCATCTCTCCGTGAAATATATAAAATTTTGCTTTATTTTGTAGAGAAATCAAACGCACTAAAGCCAGAAAAAATTTGTGGAGTAAAATAGAGAAGTGCGCAGCCAAACACTCAGAATCGGCGCTGAACAATCACACAGAGATGAGTGGGGCAGGCGACGTAGCGGCCCAAGACTCCGTCAGGAAAGCAGCCTCGGAAATGCTTAACGGGGGTACGCCCAACCGCACAATTCCAACCAGGTATGATCACCGGTAACTGGTAATCCGTGAATTCTATGTCAATCATTCAGCAATACTTGAATGAACAGACCACTACTGTACCCGTGTACTGTACGCTTGTGAAATGTGAAGTCTACGAGAAGACGATTAAAAAGTACGAAAATTTAAAAGAGGATTAAGGTGGATTACGAATGCATTTAGATGTTCTCTTAAATAAATGAGCAGAGCAGCTCTCTGGGTAACCACTCCTCTGCTGCCCATCCGCGGTCGAGTCTCTCATTGTAACGTCAATTGTTAGTATCAATAAAACTTCCATAAAAAGTTTCCACTTCGTTTCCAAATGGCCCGGAACAACTAATAAACCATTGCTGAACGTTAGGGAATAGCAAAACATTCTCCTTTAAAGTACGTATCACATTAGTTAGATCGAATGACGCACCTTCCTGAAAAGGAATTGCCTTTCAGTGTAACTTCTTTTTCTAGTGAATAACTGCACTGTCCAAACTATTTGCATCGAATGTTAAACAGGCATATGCATACTAGGGAGAACTTTCTAAGTCGACCTTTTTAGGAATTTAAAAAACCGTTGACGCCTCACTTCAAAAGTATGCGACTCTCAAGTCTGTGCAACCTTGGTCCTTAAAAAATGCGTTCCATGCAAAAACTGTTAAGTGACGCTTTTGATGATATTTAAAAGGTCTCGTTCACGCCATCATGATTAACACTGTACATTTGCAGTCTGAATAAACAGCCCTCCATACGGACGAATTTTCTTCCTTACGAAAGTTCAATGCAGTTGCATTTTAAATGCCAGTAGTTTTTCGAAATTGTGAAGATACTGAAGTATGGTTCCCGTACCAGTAATCTGTTTTCACTACGAATTAATCAAACGAGGTGAAATTTGCGAAGTATCTAGTTTCAAAGTAGTATTGTTTAATTTTACAGAGCAAGAGTTTTGTGTTTTTGCCATTTCAAGCTAACCGGTCGAATAGTAGGGTCCAATCAGACAAGCGGCAACCGCCGTACCCGCTTTTTGACATAAAAACATTCGTGCACCAAAACTCCTCATAAATTTAAGTTTAACTTTTTTCTTCCAGATAACTTGGATCTTGCATAGAGGGATAGGAGAGGCCAACAGATGTGCACGATGTGTTACACTTTCCAAGCAATGCTCACCCCCGCATTCGTCGGAAGTTAATATTTTTGTAAACCCTTTCAATCCTCCCTTTGTTGCGAAATGTACATAAACCACCAGTCTGCGTCAATAGGATCTCCATTTTGCGCACCTACTTTGGTTACATCCAGCATACTGGTTGCCCATCAGTTGTGGAGTTGATGGTTTTACTCTCCCACTCTGATAAATGGTTATTAAAAGAGAACTTCGGTAGATTTTTTAAAGAAAACAAACTAAAAATGAGGACTTTAATTTTATCAAAATTTTTTAACTCGGTTAAACATATAACCAAGTGAATAGTGTGCCTTCATTTTAAAGCGGAAACATGTGTTTCATTTGACAACTAGTTGAACCAAGAATATGCGACTGAAGAAGAGTAACCATACTCTCCTGTGACAGTTGGAGTGCACTCTTCAGAATGATCATTTGTGTAAACGCCAAAATTTAGACGAAGGTGCTAAGAGTCATGGGACTTTCCATGTAGCACCCCGAGACTTCTTTGAAGACAAGGAAAGGCATAGTACTCGGGCAGAGCATGCATTCCGACGTACAGAAGGAGTTGGGACTACTGGCATGGCCCGGAGGCCATACCACCCGGCTAAAGTACAGTGGTGGAGCCCCTAAATGGACCGTTACTAAAACCGCGAGTTATACATGCATTTTACTGATGCATTAAATATTAAGATGGCGGACTTTTAATTTTCATTCTTGTTTTCCTTCCCCAAACCTTCACTGCGCAATGAATTCCTTCAATTCAAATGGCACCTTTCCAAGTGAAGCTGGTGGCATTAACCACTATCACTTTCCGAAAGCACTGCAAAATTCAAGCCAAATTTTTGTATGTTAAGTGCCTCTCAGTAGTTGAGGTGGTAACAATTGCATTCTACTGGCTAGTTCTTACTTACACTGCAGTAGTGATGGAAGAGAAGAAAACCAAAGCGCTCACAGTATATGGTAGATGTACTGGAAAGAATCGGAATTACGAATTAGGAAAATCACGTAACCTTTCTGCTACCATTATCCTCGTTGAACAATTTCAACGTGACTACATGCAAATGTTGAGTAACGGTGTAAAAAGTGGAAATACCATCTGCCGGTACACAATGTGCAACACCATCTGTTCACGGGCATCCATCCATGCCATTACGTGTGACCGCAGAACAGGAGCATATGGGAATTCCCGCAAGTGAACAGTCTCCTCTGTAAAACGTATTATGCCAGAAAAAGTACTTCTAAAATTATGGAGCAGCAGCGCTCCTTTACGTTTCTAACATGCGTTGTCAGTTTTCTGATGCGGCCGGTTTAGTCCAAGACACCTCTACAGCATCAGCTGCCATAAACAAAGAGCTTGGATGATGGGGTGTACAAAATGTTTCGGAAGCGTCATTTCCTTTTCTTGATAAATGGCTTGAAAATTTCATCCAATTTGGGCTTTCAGATGTCATGATAACAGTGGTCTAGAGGCCTCACGATGCTATTGTAGATACAAAACTAAAAAATCGCGGTCAATAATTTTGGTGTTTTATAAAACCCAGCAACCACAGCAATCTGGGCATGCAATCGCGCCACTCACTTTGCCGGCAAATTCCAACACACTTTATGACAGTCTCACTGAGGTACAGTTGCACACGTGCGTAACCGAATGATGGATACGCGAGAGACTCGATGGAGCGTAATGGACTATAGCGAGTCCACGAGGGCTTGTCACGCGCACCCCTTATTGGACCGACTCAAACACCCTCGAGTGATGGAGGACGGCATCGCACTAACCAATGAAAATACCCTTTGCTGAAAGGCAATCTTAGGAGGCCGGCTCCTCATCATAAAGTTTTTCCCATAATTACGACCGGACTCGTGTGAGTTGCGCATACAAGCATCGCCATAAAAGCATTTGAGACACCGGTAAAATCAGTCCCTAAAAACCTTATTGTAGTGCTACCGGATATTTGCATATTCTTCATCTTGAGTTGCGAAATGGCGAAAAAGACATGACTAGGCCAGACCTAGACAGTAAAGCGAAATTCCGATGATAATAAAGTGGGATCGGCTGGGGGGGGGGGGGGGAAAGGGGAACCGACATGGATCTGAGTCCGTAGGCTGTCGGGACGCTGATGGCTGAATAAGGATAAGGGGAAGAGTGTAATACACATACCTCCACGTAGTAAATAGCTAGGTCTAGCAAAATCGAGGCACAGGACCTGCAAAATCTACTAACATAAAGCAGGTTTAGGCTTTGAAGAGATCTTTAACCGGAAGAAATTTTAGGCTCTTACTAATAAATGCACTAAGTAAAGTATTAGAATTCACCCCATTTTACCATATCCCTTGTTACCTCCAGCCAATATTATTTCCGCTTGTCAAATTACGTTGATCTCCAGGGATATTTCGTCCAGCAAATTTATGAAAATTATTCAAATGCATTAGTTAAATTTGGAAGTCTGAAAATAATTAGCTTTTGCGGCTTAAATCAAGCAGGTCTATATATAGCGCCCCAAGCCTTCGAGAAGGACTGGAGGTAACTAGCCTACCCCTAAGAACATGCTCAGAGAGACCGAAGTACCCGTGTGGTGAAATATACAGTTAAACCATTTACTGCACACTTTATGCAAGGACTGCGATGAGTGTTTCACCTTTGTTCTCTATTATTACTGTCAATGAAGTGTGCAGCATACTTACATGCGAGACTTCATATTTTCGGAGGATTCAATGAACTGCATAGTTAACTAATTAGCGCAGTTGGTCGGGTAGCAGGCCCTTATACCCCCAGAAATAACGAACCCTTGCGAACAAAACAGCAGGAGAAACTGTAACAATTTGGCTAAGTGGGAGATTATGTCACAGAGACATTGTTTTTGGAACGCTTTCGTATTACATGGTACAGCTTCCAGCTGGAGTAAGGCCCGACTCCGCTAATACAGCCTCACAAAGTAGGTATAATAATGCTTGGGAAATAGTGGTAAAATTCTACACAGCAACATTTTTTACATCTCTCTGTTAATGGTAGGAATGCATATGCAGGTAAATTATTTAGCACGCATAGCAAAAAAGTCGTAAAATTAATGAGGTCAATGAATGTGTTTAAAATCCCACGGAGACCTGCAGGAGGCAAATGTGTTTCTTGTACGAGCACGCTTGAGCTTGAGAAAATATTTTATGTAGTTTTAAAAGGCCTGATTGACAATAAAGTTGACAATGCTTGGGGAGTATTTCCAAAAAATAAGGCGAAGTTAATTGTCTAAACTTCTAAAATTGCCTTTTTTATGTTCCTTAGTTTTGGGAAATATAACCGTAAAAATAGTACTTTGACCACAGCTAGGTAATTTTTATCGCTAACGCCAAACTATGTGCTTTGAAAAAGTGACTGTTTAAAAATATAAACGTATTCGCGTTTACGCATAGCTACAGTTGGTATTTACCATACGCATAGGCCAAAAACTTTCATACTTTTCATCAGACGGTAGATTTAGGCATTACCCTTAGGATCTTTCTTTTGGTCAGTCAGTCAGTCAATTTGTCGTGTCTTAACTGTTGTTTTAACTCTCGGTTTCGGTAACGGGCCAATTTGACCCTCCCTCGGGCAGCCCGGCCTCCGGACCACGCCAGTGGCCTGAATCCCTTCTGTATGTGGACAATGCATATCCTGACCGAATATTATGCCTTCTTTGAATTTCAGGGATTTCTTAGGGTACTAAACTGATGGTAGCGGAAAGCACAGATGTTGAAGCATTCACCAACCGCCTATGTGTTCCGCTCTTTGGACGCGCCAATCCACCAATTGGTTCTGTTCAGACGCAGCATCCAAGTTTAACAGGAAAGTGTGAGGGGAAAAAAATGATGTTCCACCAAATGATGTAGAATAGCAGCAGAGCTTAAAAGCCACTTTAAATAGAAATTAACTGATATAACAGCGACTTAAATACCTTCACTAAGGACAAGGTGATTTGGTAAGGAACAGGTCTAAGCAAAGTTGTTGTGGTGGTTTAAAGCAAACTGCCTTTTATTATTAGAAGTTTATTTTGTGAATTTCTATTAATAACTACTCCCGCAAACATTAATTAAGAAAAGTGGTTCAGTAGATGGAACACTTCCTCATGCAAGGGCTCTGCCAATGAGCTCTGCGTTGGGGTAGAAAACCCGCCCGCAATGTTTGAAGTTCGCGTGCTTTACAAGTAGGCAAAATGAGGAGTCGAACTGCAGTCCAACAATTGTACTAGAAGGACTAGCAGAAATGAAAATGAATTGTTCACAAAAATATTAGACAATGAGAATCTCACAAACGAGGCCGATTAGACTTCCGGCATCATTTTCACTGCGCTTCCTCCCAGATTTTGCATTCAAGCATGATTTACATTTGCATTTCCTCAGATCTGAAAGAAAAGATATCTCAAAAGTGTCTCAGAACTAATTAAGAGGAAATTGAAAGAGAGGAAAGTTTGGGGCTTACGCAGGTGCGTGCTGCGCAAAAACAAAATAAAACTAGTTCTAGTCTGATTTTTCATTTTGATAAAAAGTATTGGTAATGTCATGACGGTTACTTGACTAAGTGGTCATGTGCAATTTTTGGTCACTTATCTTCTTAATTTGTGGATATTCTGACATCTACAGGACACTGGTTGCCTTAACAACGTAATTCCCAAGTCAGCTGCGAACAATGTTGAAACACACTAGCTGTCATTAGAAAAAAAAATAAAAATCAACAAGATTACAACTTTGAACAAGTCAGTGGACTTATTTAACCACTTTAGCTTATAATTTACCACACGGCCAGCAGCCGCATCGGTCAATGGAGCTGGTCTAATTTCAGTAGCCAGTGATGGACGTATTTATTTTACCAAAGAGTGCTTTAACTGCTTCAAGAAATATGCCATGTAACAGCAACATAGATTTACTTGAAGCCTTCCAAAAAGAATCTAACATTACAGGGGTAAAGGATGATTACTCTTTGTACTCACCATTCACCAGGACCTTCGAAGATCATAACGGCTCCTTAAAGAGCGGTGAATATGATTTGGTTTGATCCTTTCTTTTGCTTCAGATGGAGGCACCCGTAGCTGCGCTCTTCAGCAGCCATTCGCTTGTTCACCATGCGGTCCCACACTACTTGGACGAATCGGCGACGACTAAAATACTTTACACTATATGGAGTAAGGAGGATGTTGAGACTGTAAGAAGTCACATTTTGTTGCTGGCCCGAATGTGAGCCTGGCAACATGAAGCATTGAAGACAGTCTTGGGCTCATAGAGTTCCTTTAACGTGTTTTACGAAAAATAACCCTCCTTCCTTTTCTTTCAAAGGTGCCGTAGACTTGACTATTATAATTCAATTTTAAATTCTTTTAAATGGAAAGTTAATCATACAAACGAATGTAAGAAATACTAAAGAAAATCTAAATATGTAGTCTTAATACAAGACTGCCATCATTGTGACATTCCGCTAGTAGTATTTATAAAGCAGAAATTTTCAATTAATTCATGTAGGTATCCTTACCCCTTCCAGATTGTTGTGCTTCCCTTTGCAACTCCTACTGAGGTCGGAATACCTCACATTGCCCATTTCAAACATGTTTGTATGGAGATGCATTTATGCCTGCTCAATCTGAAATGTGTCACATTTCACTTAATCCAGTAAGAATGCGTATTTGACCAACTATTCCCCTTGTTCTCACATTTTCCATCATAAGATGGTTTACTCCAACGAATTTACCCAACTTTATATTAGTGATCCTCAGAAAACGGCAGTGCTGTCGCCTAATTTTGGCTAAGTGTTCTTCATGCCCTCCAGATGCAGTAGTTTTTGAAGAATAATGTGAAAAAATAAACCTTTTACAATATGTCCATTCTTTTAGTCGGTCGACTTTATCCTCTTGGCGTAAATTTGCGTTAGCGATATAGCGCTCCAAGACTTTTGCTGAAGACGAAAGAAGACAATGCTAGGGGAGAACAATGTATTGCCGACGTACAGTAGGGCTTGGACTACTGGCATAGCCTGGAGGCCGGGCCTTCCAGTGGTGGAGCCTCTAAGTGAGAGTCAAGCAATTTACGTATTACAAATAAGATTTTCCGAGGAATTGGCGCCCTAATGGTAATTTATTCGAGTCCTGATGATCCCTAAAACACTCAAGCTTAAGGCATTTTATACGATTCGCAAAGGCAGTCGAAGATAAATCACCGTAAATGAATCAATAGATCATTCTTGGCATTGTTTTGCGACCATATCAAAAGTGCTTCGAGTTTAATACCGCTTCTGTCTCATTGATGCCTTTGAGTTAGTTGGCTAGCTTATACTAACGGAATAGTTTGATAGTTGGAAATAACCGAAAGCGAATTCAGGCAAGCAATAAATTGTTAACCACACAAATTCCTTCGAATACATGGAAGAACTAAAAGTATAACCTTTTTGAAGCATCGGTTCAGAGAACTAAAATTTAAACCCAATTTGTTACAGCGAACACTACGAAGTGAGAGATTAGACGCAGTTACAACTTTACTACTTGGAATCAACATGGCTATCAACGCAGGTAGAGATTCCATTATTAAAAATTTACAAGTAGTAAAGGCGCTCAAACGTTCAACAAATACCATTTTTTATGGCACAGCAGAAAAATATGCTTGAAGAAAACATTTGATTGAAATTCCCTCGTACTGGTTTGAGTAAGGCCTTTTATTTCTGATGTGTGCTAAAAATTGCTCAACCAAACACTTGGAATGGAATTCGCACTGCTCATCAATAAAAATTCGAGTGGTTATTCGCACCAAAGGCAGTAAAATTACACTTTTTGTAAAAGAGAGGGTGTTAAAATTATTTTCTTCGTCTAACCTTCAATGGGGTTTATAAACAGTCAAACAATCTCATTAGGAAAAGAGCAAAGTACAAGCCCTAACGAGGTCGAAGTCAATGAGCAAGTTATTATCGGCAAGAAAAGTCACTCTCAATGTCCTGTCACTGCTTGACATGCACTCCCAACTAATTGGTTCGCGCAATTAGGTGGAACTGCAAGCTCAACTCCCTTGACAAGCCCAAATGACTGGGATGTCAGGCAGCGCTTCCTGCGCGCATAATTCACCAAAACCTGAACCAATGCAACTCGTCGTCAAACCTGATGTACTTATTGAGAAAATAGAAGTACTTTACAGGCGTGTTAACTTTTTTACAAAAAAAGAGTTGTACATAAGATGTCAATGGTCAGTGGGATGAATGCAAAATCGCTTAATGAGATTGTTCCCCACCTTCGATCAAACCGACAATGCATTTTGATAAATCCACTTTAAAAGTGATTGAATTAGTGCATTAAGTGGCGGTTTCACTAAAATGACTCCATTAAGTCATATCAGTGGTTTTGCAGGGCGGTTGTGGAGGTAAGTAGGCCTTTCGAAGTTGGCAACTTGGCGACAAAATGATTCACGTGGGACGTCAAAGATCTAACAGCATTTGGAAAATAACGAGAAAACCGCAAAATTAAACGCAAAATAACGATTCAGCTAATCAGTTTAAAAGGCAAAACTCCAAAAAATCGAAATTGTGTAATTGATTCGGACAAGTTAAAAAAGTAGGGGAGTGGCTTAGGCGGAGAGAAATGGTTAATAGTCTTCGGTTAAAAAATGCCATTCATATTATCACGTGGATATTTAATCAAACGAAACTACAAAAGTAAAACCTCCTTCATTAATGAAACGTCAGAATAATACCCTTTATCGCATAGAAGTCCGCACCATTCTAACTTATTTTCAAATAGGTTAAAGTGCCTAAGTGGGAAGGTTTGAGATGGAGGATTTTCTTGGAAGTGTATCAATAAACTGTTTGGTGATCCAAAATGGTGACACGGTCTAAAATTGGATGCGGCAGATCTAACCGATTAAGCGACGCTGAAATCCAGTTCGTACTTTTTGGAAGATGCTTTTAGATCCGATTAAAGGCGAAATATCGGCGACAAAACTACCTACGAGGTAAGATTTCACTAGACATTTTCGTCGATCCAGCACGTTAAAGTAGCCGCGATTAAAGCGCTTTTCACCGCATTTCTTAACAAGCATCATCTTGTAACATTTTCCAACATGAGAGCAGAATTGAAAAGTCACCAAAGTAGCAATGATGCCTTGCGTGTTGAAATCTGTACGGGAATTTGGACGTGCTAAATGTAAGCAGTAATAGAGTCGAAAAGATTCTAAAAATGTTGGAGTTAAGTATTGTTATGCATTTATAAATTGCGGTGTGTCGACTGAATGCAGTGATTGAAAAGACCAAAAAATGAGAAATCTGGTTTCGCTTCTTACTTGCAAACTTGCTTATGCCAAAGGCCCTTTCCAGCACTGTAGACTACTGATAGTGATTATGGAATTAATTAAAAATTAAAAATGACTATATCCTAGGGCTCGGCCTATTTTTGCATGACCATAAATTAAAGGCTTATAGGTATGAAGTAAAAAAGACTTCCGATCTATCGAAAGGCAGGATTACAGCATACGAGAATTTGGAATCAAGAGTAACGACTTAATGTCCATATTGACTCGTATAAAGTGATGCAATGATGTTGAGGTCCTGTGAATCACCCCTGTCAGGGTAGGTAAAACTGAGATGGAGGCAGCGAATGAGTGCTTTTGTTGAATGCAGGACGCCTTCACTAATAAGTTTTCGAAGGTAAACTGAACTCATTTAGGTTGGATCTACAGAGAAGTGACTCATCGAAATTCTGCCCACAAACAACTGCACCTGTGATTAAAATAGACTTCACTTGTTGTTACTATGCTTTTTGAAGGAATAGGTTTGCTTGTTACCTTGGCGTGACATTATCAACACGGAGTGTATAAGATTATTTGGGCAGTTTGAACTAAGTCGTGATTTATAACAATCTGACCCAAAAGGCTACAGTCGAAACAGTGTGCTGCTCCTATCCAACCGGAAAATCCTCTTGTACCGAATCAGAAATTGAATGTGGTCTAAAGCACTTACAGAAAGGACCCTGCATAAATTTACCCCAAATGGAGTTGCTTAAGGCTCCTATACAAGACTGGTCAGCACGACGGAACTGTGTCCGTGTTTATCCGAACTTTTTAGTCAGCAAATCGCTTATGGCATTGTCTACTAGGCAAGGGTGACTTTAGTGGAGGGAATTTGAACAGCTACGGCAATGCTACAAAATGAGGCTCTAGACAATGCGATCACAATCGCTACCTATACTTGGCTTGAGTGAAAATAGGCTCTCGTAAATTTTGCCAAAAATTTCCATTTCTTGGACCATTCATGATCACATTTTTACCTACCGCATTATCTAGAACACCTTCACACTGTGGAATTGTATGCACCATTTGTTGGGCCTAGGAATCGGAACTTTTTTACCAAACAAATGGGATGGATTCTATTAACGCATCCTCACAGGTGCCATTTTCACCAATGTGGTTACTGCACTAGCAATTCCCACCATTGGTCGAGTCCAATTAAAAAAAGAACACACGATTTTACAGACTGTGGAGACCATTTACAACCTTGATGGTTACCTTGTAAGATTGAAATAAAGTTTGCAGACTTGAGCCACCCTTGACCAAAATGGTCGACTAACGGAGGTGAGGAGATGTTCCGAGTCTGACTGAACGCCAATCGAGTTCACCTGACTTTGAAATTTCATCTAATCACTGTAATGTGAAAAGCCAATAAAACCACACGGCTTGACCACTTTAGCCAGCAAAAATTGGGACTGGACAAATAAACTATTAATGCAGTCTAGAATCCAAATCTCCCACACCGCGATGCTGAGCTCTTACGAGATGAGGAGGGAAAAGCCACTCACTAGCAGTAGCGCAGTCAATAGTCAGAAAAAACACCCAAAACTGGACGCCAGTAACAGTCAGCTACATGTGTGCTTTGGGCCAACTCAGAGTTCTAAACATTTCCTAAATGCACACTACTTAGGAATCGCAAATTAAAAACACGATGAAGCAAAAAACGGTGATACAAAAGAGGTTTTATTAAATGCTCGCGTACACGCTCCACATATTAATATTAAAACAGCAAAAGTGGATATGCGCAATACAACAAAATTGTGCTTCGTTTAGTGTTTTTCGTGCTTTAGTAACGAGTAGGAGGGACGGTTGGAGGGGCTGAGATAGTGGCACCGCCGGAAGCTGAGTTGGCTGGTGCCATGTTTTTGCGCCGCACCTCCGAGTCGGCCACCGAGCGAATGTAGATGGCTGGTGCGGGCACGTTGGGGATTTCACCATTCTCATAGAGGTAGGATACTCCGATCGCTAATTGTGTGCCATCCTCGCAGAAGTCGAGACTGCTTATTGTTGTGGAGTATTTCTCAAACTGAGCCAACCACTTGCGGTTGAATCCATCCCATGTGTTCACCATGCCATCCGATCCACCTATTTAGTCAAAAATAGTTTAGAAGTCTGCTCCTTCGCTCTAACTGGAAACTGTCACGGGATGGTTAGCACTCTTATTATCAGAAATTCTACGTTCATCGCCGCAATTAATTGACTTTAATTACATCGCAAAAATTCAGGCACTGACAAGTCGATAAGGCAACCAGCACAGGTCTCGGGAACTGACAGGAGAGAGGGAAAACAAATATTTCAATGCGGTCTACATAAAGCCACTGTCCTAAGCGCTTTTCCTCCATATTTAAGTTTGTTAGAGATAAGTAGAAAAGTTAACTCTGATTTCGGAGATATCGCCCCTAGCAGTTCGTGGGGCACGACACGTTCGTATAAAGGAACATGTTTATGGATGAAAAAGACTGTTTACTCTCGACCACTTTGGAATAAAAACAGTCATTAAATTTTCTTGCAAATACTGGTAAAAGAACGTGACTCTCAGCATGTGCATACACGCGATTTAAAAGTTCGATAGCACGAACCGATTGTATGTAACCGCAAAATCGCTCTCTGCTTTCCCCGAAGAAGAATTAGAGGTGAAAAACGTTTACCCAGTGTTTCAAGAAGTGACTAGAGGCCGCTTACCTGTAGCGAAAGTGTTGTAGCGTTGATGGAATGAGATTGCCGTTACAGGGTAGATCACTTCACGGTTCTCTTCCTTCTTGCGGTGACATTTAAAGACGTACGATTTCTTTTGAGATTCCTGACTCTTGTCAAACATACGCACCGCAACGCGACCTAAAACAAATAACGTCTGCAAGCAGTCAAAATGGGGCAATTATAAATTTATTAACTTTACTCGATCTAGGGCATCAACTGACGCCAATGAGAACAATCACCAATACTTCGGCCGATTGAAAACGATAATCACGTAAATAGGCAACGAAATGTACACTTCCTCGCCTTTACACCCAGCACCATGTAAAGTGCCGCACAGTGTTTAAACAAAGAGCAAGATATAAAAAGGTAGATTAACATAGACGGGGAAAGTGGGGCTTCCGTAAGTCGACGTAAATCATGGGGGAACAGTGATTTGTACTTGTGGGCACGCCAACTTGGTTTGTTCAAAGTCGCAACGTTCCAATGGTGTTGTAGACAAAAAGTTTTGAAAGACCATGTGTTTAAAGAAAGTGTGGCCTCATCTTCGCATTAAAACCGCCTCGGAGAACACGAATACGAATGTAAACATTAAAGAGCACTATAGAATTTCCAAATGACACCCGTCTACAAACACATAAGTAAAAGCGGCACTTATTTTTGTGCCACTTTGCGGTGCATAGTTCGTGGCATAAAAAATCTTCCAAGTAGCAGGTCGACTTCTCAGGAGATTCCTTTAACTGAACAAGTTTCACGAATCAACTTCAGGGAATAAAATTTTGCAAGAGCTGTTACGATCCGTAGAAATAATAATCCATTTCAAGAGTCCTCGTTTATTGATGTGGAGCCTTCCCGCCCTTGATAGATTAGCTCGAACATGAAATGAGTGATTGGGATGCTTGTATAAATTAAAATTCTAGGACGTGGCTGCTGGCACAGCCAAGTGACACCTGCTTTACGAACTCTATGCAAAAAAACGGGACATGAAAACATTAATTTTCGTTGTTTATAAAATGCTAGTGATTAATGGCACGATAACGATAAAAACAGAGCTGTGCAGCAAAAAACAAATTCATGCGAACTTGACTGGTCAGAGAGGACGAGTAAGTCAACAAGGACTCCTAAGCCAATGCACGCCATAAAGCGCTTTCTGCAAACGAATTCAATGTCTATTATAAAATTCCGCGGCAGAAAGCTGAAAGTTCATGATCGTAGATACGTTATGGTGAGGTGCATCAAAGAAACCCTAAGGAGGTATTTTGATGTGTAAAGTCGATCACTAAGTGGAAAATCTCGAAGTTTTAGCAAAAGGAAATCAAAATTTCAAATGCACGCTACGCTATTAGAATCATACCGCGCTTGTACATTAAAATTGCAGTCAGAAATAGATGAAGTTGGACCTCCAGAATCCTGCTTAAGTTCTTATAATTAAGGCATCTTAGCTAAATATATGTGTGGCTCCTAGGTGGCTGCACCCAGAGATAATAAGCTATAAATGAATGAGACGACCAGCGAAATTCAACTAGGGGTACAGATTTTGAGGTCAGGTAGGGGGAATGGACGAGCATAAGGTGCATCCAAAAATGGAAAGGAATTCTTTTCTTAGAAGAAGTGAAGGTAAGGAACCGGAAGTATGACTTGTACCTAGTATAAAACGCCCGCTAGAAGCTTAATCGCATGGAGCCCTTAGACAGGACATTCAGAATGCAGACTTTCTCACAGGCAAGAACGCGATTAGTTGATTAGTAATGCCTCTTGGACTGGCCGTCAAATTTACAAAATGTCAGTGTTGTTCGAGGAACTGTGTTGTGTGCGTCAAAAGGAAAGTGAACCGAGCGACTTAAACATTCCCCAATGGCGATAATCAATTATAGTAACAGCGATTCTATATGAGGCATGAATGACAAATTACGATGCGGCAATACGTATTTGCTCTTTTCACAAGCCTAATATCAAGGAGGACCGCATCATGTATGAAATGTTAAAGCCAAGTCAATTGTTCACCTGATGTTTTGCGCGCTACATAATGAGAGTGGTATTTGAAATAACTTAACGAAATTGAGAAATGTGGTTGAAGTTCATCTGTCACAGGTCACCTTTGCGATTCCAATACACCTACTCCAGCTTTGGACAAAATCATGTGATTCCAGCAACGTTGGAAAAGTTGTCGCTGGTGATTTGTCTACGAAAAATTTATAGACCAAATAAAATTCCACAACAATCATTTAATCGACAGCAGACATGTAGTAGATAGATACACTCGGAAACGTAAGTGCGCAGTTTGTGGTTATAAAGATACACTCAAGTGTAACAAATCTGAGATGAGGAGATTTAATGCAACATCAGAGTATCGGGAGAAAAGTGAAAAAAAGGATCAATCTACTAAACATCGCTCTTCAGTCGGGTCAGTAGTTGTAATGTACATGCATATATGCATACATAATTGAAACGTACACATATGGAGGAGTTAAATATCGAGACGAAGTAGATGGGCATCAGCTAATGTGAACTAAAAACAAACTAAGCATTGAAAACAAAAAAACACATGTACTGGATGTGTCTTTTTACCGGAGTAAATGGATAAGGCTTATCTAGCGACGGAAGGAGTGAAAAATAATATAGGGATGAAAAAGTAGGAGTAATGTTGTTGGAACACTTTGCACCAGTTTAAAAGTTTCAAAAAAGCATGAAACCAACAGTGTGGGCTACTGTGACCACAGTGGTCTGCTAAAACTGCCAGCGCGAACTAGTAGAGGCATCTGAGTAATGGGGAAGAAATGTGGGAGCTACATGGAGGAAGCTGAGAACTATTTGCCAAATTAGGGAGAAGTAGAAGTGTGTGCGTAGGTGTGGCTTGTGCGATGCAACGTGGTACGGCGCGGGGGTTTAATCCAACCGACGTGGATGCCAAAAATAGGCCTGTACAGTCACGCCAATGTGGTGGCTGTTGAATTGGACGGGCCGCGTAAAAGCGCAAGTAAGTGGGCGGGCATACGTGCATACCTCCACACGCCAGAAATGTCCAACAGGTAAGAGGGTGGGCAACATCAGAGGTGTACAGAAAGAGGTGTTGCAGTAAGTAGTGATCCACGAGGGCAGTCGTTTGGTTTTTGACGATTAAAACGACATGCAGATCGGATTGTTATAATAAAGACAAATCCAACCTTCACTATTAATCCACGCTACATGCAGATCTAATTTTATCAAAACGGAGTCCCTTAGAATAATAAAGCTAATGAGGTTGGAATTCTGAGCAGTGAAATCGTACCCCAAAAAAATCCCACAAGATAGTGTTTAACCAAATGAGCCAGACAAAAATGACACCTCACTATTTAGATTCATGGCCGTAAAGGGTTCTTTACATATGACTTCCCCCTGTAAGTGATTAGCAAAGTTAGAATTCTCAGAGATTACCTTTCAAAGCTGCTATTTCTGTCCAGCGTTTGCTTTCTAATCACACCACCATTTACGAATGAGAAAATACATTGCTTCTTTGGACACTGCCTGATGGCATATTCCCCAAGCTGTTGAATTCTGTATCCCTCTCCCCATATTCATGTCGCACTTAGGACCACCCTGCGTCACAGTTACATAAAGCATCGCACTACACATAGTCTATCACATGTAGTATTGATGCTACAACGCTCTTAATACGAACAGCTAATGCCCCATTCGAAAATTACTACTAGAGCAACGAAAAAAACGAACGGAAGTGATAAACTCATGCAACTTTAACGGGAAATAATAACTAAGGTATGTGTCAAGTCGTTCAAAAACAATTTTTTTGGTGAAACTCGAGTGACCAATTCGAAAGAAGGGTTTGGGAATATCAAAACGCACCTTCAATAGAACCCATGACGAACCCCTGGCCGTTAGGAAAACAACGAATAATGCGGGTCTGATACCGCAAGGTAGACTCTTGCTGTTCAATGGGCTGAGCCATGTTGCGGAGGTCCCAGAGGAGGACATGGCGACCGGCAGTACCCACGACCAGGGTGGTATTGACGGCGTCCATGGTGAAGACAGTGTCGGGCTGCTGGTGCACCGAGACTGCTCCGCCCGCGGACGCATCGCCAGTGGAGGTCGTGTTGGACGCCCGGGGGTCCCATACGCGCACTGTCTTGTCCCAGCTGCCCGTTAGCGGCGCACCGATCGCCTGGCTGTAGAGTGCCACGCTTACGGCGCGGTTACATTTACCCAAGTTGGTAACTGAAACCGTACATGAAATAATCGATACAGGATAGGGAGAGAGGAAAAAGGAGGAGAGCGCTTTATCACATGTTACCACCACTCCCCATTAGCTCTGAAGAAAAAGCAATAGATGAATAATCAAGCAAACATGTGAGTAGTTCACGAATTATGCAGATTTTCCAGTCTAGCTAAGCGACATAATACTGATAAAATCAAGCAATTCTTTCACGAGCGCTAAACGGGAGTTTAGATCTCAAATATTCCAAAGCCATTTTAAATGAATTCGAAGCAAAATTTTGTAAAGAGGAGATTATGATAGATGCTTTACAGGCAGGTACTTCGTGTCTCGATGTAAAAGAGGTTCTGTTTCTTTTCCATTGAGCAAAGAAGCCTAAAAATACTAATCTACTTTTCCATGATAATTAAAGAACGTACATAAAGGGAATGTTGATTTAACAGACTCGCAAGGTGGTTAAGAGACCTTGTCATTATCACAATCATTTTTATTGAAGTTTACCGTAGGAACTTATACTGAATTTGATGAAAATTGAAGATAATAATGCAATTTTGCGATGAAATATTTTAAACAGATAAATTAATGTCACTCACTTAATATTTTTATAGGGCTGATACTGAAAAAACAGGAACATGAAACTAGGATTTCCTCTATTACTTTAACGAGACAAAAAGGGCTTCGAGTCGATTGTAAAGGAGGAATTCCAGCTCTGGATTCCACTGTTGCTTAATCTTGCGTGAAAATATGCACCTCAATAAGGTAGTCATTCATATCGTGACCGATGCGTATACTTGGGAAGAAGGTGAGGTAATGACCACTTGTGAAAGTAAGAAAGTGGCTTTGGGTAAGGACAAAACAACCACTAGGCCTAGTAAAAACCCAAATTAGTGAGTACATAAACCGCTTAAATTGACACTGTAAAACAGCTTTTGGACAACGACCGGAAAAAGAAATCACAAGAAGGATAACTCGTACCGTCCACAGTGAAATAAAAAAACTATTTGAAATGGGCAGGTCTTAACAAGTGCTGAACGGGATAGCAGAGATCAAGTGAAAATAAAGATAAAAAATCCATCTAGAAAATAAAAGTTTGCTGTAGTCGGCACATGCAGATGTCGATAAAGAAGCAATGAATTATTAAAAAAGAATTTTGGGTGCAGATAAATATATCCAGAAGAGGGCACTCTACCATTAAAATCATCCAGAGTGGAAACAGATCAAACTGAGGGTAAGACTGGCATATCGAAATGGAGGAGAAATAGGGCTAACCCAAACCAGGTGCATTAATTTCAGGCTTATGGAGCATTTGCAGAGTTACCTGATAGACAAAAAACAGGCGCGAGAGGTGAGGAACCACTGGCTCAACAACATTGAAAACATGCAATATAAGTGGTTCTTCCTAAACATGGAAGATAATAATGCGACACGCATGCAGTTTACCTCATGAGAAGCAATGTAACTTGCTGTACGATTCTTAAAACACAACTACTTCGTTAGCGTAGAAAATGTTTGGACCATTCTTCACAAAATGACTCGATTTAAAGTACCAATTGTTTTTGAAAACAAAGAAGATGGAGCATGTTCCCCCAGTGCGTTCTTCGTGGCCTTGAAAGCGACTGAACAAAAAATCACTAGCGAAACACTTCATATTTTTCAACGAAAACAAGAAGCCTAGGGATAAACATTAGTGGATGATCGAATACTTGGGCACCTAAAACAGTGCAGTTCACCATCGATAAGCAGTCAATGTGATTATAACATGAAGATTCAAAAGAAGTGGGAAGAGCATGCCTTGAGATGTGTTGAGGTCGAAGTATTTGACGGCGCCCTCGAGAGAGCCTGAGATGGCGTGCAGAGCGTCGGCGAAGCAGCTGGCGAGTACCGGGCAGGCATGCTCGTAGGAGGAGCGTTGACCACCTGAAGTGACGTCGTAGAGGCGTACCATGCAGTCCCAGCTGGACGCCAACAGGAACTGAGCGCCTTTGCCCGGCTGGAAGTGCACAGCACTTATCGTATCCGTCGGTAGGTTGGACAGCTTAAATTGGTCACCGGTTGTCACTGCTGGTGGCATCCTTTACTCTGCAAGCACGAGGCAAAAGTCACCGCCAACAAAGGCAAATTTATTTGAATTTTGCCTACTATATTTCTCGAATTATGGGTCGACAGCAAACTGACAAAATCGCACCAGACATTATGCATGATTACCTATCATACGCACTGATAGAGAATAAAATCTATCGTATATAACATTTTGATGGGCTGTTGGGGCCTCGACATCATTCCAAAAAAAAATATACAGTACTAGACACAGGTTTTGTCCGTACTAAGCAGACAGGACGAGTGATGACGATGACATCTCAAGTATGATCTACCATTCCCTATCCGACTAAAGCTTAGGAAAATAAAAAAATAGCAACTGGATCTTATATTGCTTGATTTTTTAAAACCTTAATGTCTTAATGGGGGGGTTTACACCTTCAAATTGTTCAGCAGAAACTGAAGTGATGAAGGCTAAAACTACTTTCCAAGAAACTAAATCAAGAAAGGTATACTCATAAGAACCAACCGTCTAAGGTGAAAAATTGACGACTCTTGACAAATAAACTATATTTTAGCGACCAAATAGGCGTCATTGCATAACAAAGTTCATAATACATGAATGATAGAAAACACACGCATAAAATGATCCATTGGTTCGATCACATTTTAAACCGAAGAAAAACAAGAAGAATAATAACAATTTCAAGTACAATCCAAAACAGGCTATTAACGCTTGGTACACACATAGTTGAGGACTCATAACGAGAGGAATAAGAAAAAGAAAACCAAAACATAGTAGCTTTGTAAATAAAAGCAGCAATATAAAGAACCAACAATTTTACAAATGACACGTCCGGTAGAAGGCATATTTGGAACCGAAAGCATCTAAACAGTTAAGCACACGAAGAGCGAAAAGGCACAAGACGACACGAAAACTTTTTATTTTTTTCACAAAATAGAGTGGAAACATAACAGGAAGGCAAAAAATGTCTACCCACTTTGATCAAGGAAAAGGTAAATTGGAATGCTATGCTGTACTAGTGGCGTTTTCAATCATACTGTTATGGGGATCAAACTGTGACCCAGTAAAGGAGGCCTTGAAGACATTCTAAACTAAGCTTGTTAGAACGCACTGATAGGCAGATTTTAAGTTACTCTAAACTACTACAACTACTCTGAGTTTGGAAAAGCTCCTCCAAAGAGCGCGGTCTTCGTTCTACCGTCTTTTCACAGATGATTTGATTGGCAGTAGCTTTATTGGAATTGCTCCAGGTGATAGCGAGACCAGGAAGCCAATGAAAGGAGGAGCAGAGTGGTTTGAGGAAATTCGGAGACTTGATAGATTGTTGCAGCCATAAGACAATGATGGAGTAAAGCTTTCCCGATAACAATATTAACACTGGTTGATGAATCATTGCCGCTATGCGATAGTGGGGTCCAGCAAACGGATCGGCGGGAAATGGGCAGAGCATCTGGTTCAGATTAGCATGGGTTAGCTGAAAAGGAAAGGCGAATCCCTAGGGCATGCTACTTAAATGGGTTTGAGTAAAGTGATAATTTTAAACATACCATGCCAAGTGGCTGGAGGAACAGAAAGTGGTAGAGTGTTTGTATGGACAAAGATGTTAGGACCCAATGAAAATCGCCCAGAGGTTCGATTGAATAGACGGCTAAATATAACAAAAAAGCATCTAACTGTATTGGGTTAATTACGCGGCTAGAGAGTTCACGAATAAATACAATAGCTAGCGAAGTTGGTCAAGCAAAGCAAAGCCGCCGAATGGAATAGATGGAAAGTATACACCGGGCCAAGGCTACATATGAGCA